TTAATCCAACAACAAATTCATCTTTCTATGTGAAGATAAAGTTCATATGTGAATGATCAAAGACTTTCAAAACATTAAGGGCGTGGTGTTTATAATAGCTTAAAATTAGCGTCTGAACGACATATCTGGCGAAAGATCACATAAAGTCATGACAAGGTTTATTAATACAGAATATAGCCTTCTACTCCCTGTTAGGTCACTGAGTGGACGATAGTGTTGCAAAATCAGAACTGGTTATCCTTCGTCCATGATATGTGCATTCAGCCTTCCTTTAGAAAAAGACATCAGAATACTTGCTAATTCAGAAACAGATAACACTAACTAGAACTTCAAGTGAAACAGTATTATTCGATATATCTTTCACTTGTATGAATCTCCATGTGTCTGAAATAAAATGGTTGCAACCTTTTGCCGTGAAGTCAATTCAGAGCTTCTTCAGAAAAATAATCAAAACCAAAACATTTGAGATGAATAAATGCAATCAAAAATGTTTATTGTATCTCCTTATCCAATCATGAGTCCACATTCATTGTTTGTAAGACATGATTAGTTGGCACTCAGTATATGAAACTGCATTTATCGTGTTATGTGATATATGGAGAACAAATTATTAAGTCCAGCGTTATTTGAAAAGACCAGCAGAAAGTTGGCGATTGGCATGCTTCCTACTTCACATGCTGTTTCACTGAAACCAGGTTTCTTACTGCCAGTAACTATGATGAACTGGAACAGTTTTCGACTTTTGCCAGCCGCAGTTGCCCCTTCCAACATACCCTCGCTTTTTGACCATCAGGTATCAAACTTCCTAGTTTCCTTCTGCTTGAGAAGTCATGTTAGGGACCTATGTTTATTGCTCCATTTCCTGTTTATAGAACTAAATAAATGATCGTCAATCATTGTGAAGAGCCTTTAACAACCCAAAGTTTGTTAGCATGCTGTTCTTTAAAGTCACAAGTGGCTTAATTGGCCATTTTCATGAAGTCTTAGAACTGCAGTCAGTGCTCATTTATACTTCCTTGGCTCGACAGCTGACCTGGAATCAAGACATGTTTTATATACTTAGTTACATTACTAGAACCAGCAAAACTTATATACGCCAAACCATTAAGGATGATGATATTGATGACTACCAAAGCACAAGATGAAATAAGCATACAGTAAAGCAGGATCAGAGTCCAAGCTGGTGCTCAAGAATTATCATTACCTTGGAAAACACCCAAACCACTAGTAGTTGATTACAACATGATCTTTCCGAGTCTGTAGCACTGGCTGTACCTTAAGTTGGTGCAGCCTAGAAAAGAGCTACCATTTGCTGAAAGGTGCAGAAGATGGTCCTTGTTATTAGACATGTAAAACATATAGTAAGCAAACTCAAGTAAAATCATCTCAACCAATCTCTACCTAGCTTAGATGTCCTGATTTCACATTAAGGTCTCTAGTTAGTACTCAGACTCATGTTGAGCAGAATTATTACATATGGCGACTAAAGTGATGATAGAACTCACTACAGACTGTATAGGTTCCACAGTTAGAACATAGGCAGAAACTGAAAGATAGACATCGTTTTTCTAGTAACTTACGTTTAACACTAATCAAACTGTCTAGCCTAAAAGCAAAGACCACTGTGTGAGAAAAACTAGTTGGCTTGTATAACTTTGGCTCCAGCACTTAGTCCAAAGCCCTCACCAGCCAGACCAGTTTTGTGTGTCATGAAGTTACTGCATAAGAGTGTTATGAATGCACTTTTTGAGGTAATAGATAAAGAAGTTATCCAAAGCACTTCATTGGAATCTGGAATTAAACTTTTTGAGATAAGGGAAATATCAATAAGAAAGGTTTCCAGAATCTCAGCCACAGCTCTCTGTTGTCATGTTGCATCGTGAACCTGAATTTGAAGTGATGCAGCGCAAACGATACCCGTGGATTCCTAATATTTGCTACAAATCTTGCACCGTTGTGGAGAAGCAAATGCTTAGTGATTTATGGTGATGGGGACAGACTAGGATTTCAGTTAATGCCAAGCTGCGTGTTAAAAAAAGATTCAGATAAAAACAAGTTTAAATGTAATAAGGAAAAATTGGTCATACTCGGAGACAACTATGATGTGATGTGCCGCAGTCCTGTGATGGCCGTTGGCTACATTAGACTGACATGTCATTTTTCCGTTTCGGATCCTGGAGCGAAATAGCAGCACTGATTATGAATCAGGGTTTTCTTATCTACCCAAGAGGACCTTTCATGTTCACCGTATCGGTAAAAAGAGAGAGTATTCTCTCTTGCACTATCACTTGTTTCATCACCTCCGTGAGTTATACCACCGTTAAAAAAGCTATGAATGCATGGCCTTATGAAAGCATTTTGACAGGAAAACCTCAGTCATTGCACTATTTGCCAAGCATCGGCGTTGGGGCAATTATGGGGTGATTTGCACGCACTGATTCAGATTTGAATCGGTCGTGGAACAGGTAAACTCTAATAATAGGCATTAAAGGGGTTGTAAACATTGGTCTGCGGCCTAACAGTGACTGAGTATTGAGGTCTAACACTAACTGTTTTTCTTCAACATCACTTCAACTGTTGTAGGAGTTTTAACTAATTTATGGGAAGGGTATTGGTTCTTCGAAGCAAGGTTTCTAGCCATTGGGAGTAACATTAAAGTGCTGACATAGAGCATTTCTCTGAATAAAGCCGTTTTTGTTTAAACTTATAGGTCTTAATATCCACTAAAAGTTATTTGAGTGGAAATATGACGTAGATGGAAAATAAGACGTTTCTCATCAATGGTTCCGTAATTTATCATACTTTGGAAACTATTAACTTTGGTTATCTTGGAAGATCTAAGGCAAATTGAATAACCTCAGTAACAGATTTTAATATGACAGTTAAACACAACAAAACGAAACGGAATTAAACAAGCGCCGTATGATTTTCATCTGCCACGGATTTCTCAACCAAGAATGTGTAGTATATCGCGTTTTGCAGATAATCAGATAGCATTTACAGTTCTATGAAATTCCTCACTCAGTTTTTCATTTTACCTCTCATATGAAGATATGGGTGAATTACTGTCCGTTAAAATTCATTTGTAAAAAATATGAAAAGGATCCAAAGCGTTTTATTTCTCTTGATTCAGAGAAAGACTAAAATTTATGGTATAAAATGTGCAATCAATGTCTGACATAACTACACGATTGTAAATCCATATTGCTGACCACACCAAAATGTGAACGGCATTTAAGTGAGGAAAATTATGAGTTAGAACATCAAGCAGAGGAACAGCCAACAGGAAAATCTATACAGTCAATGACACAACAATTAAAGGAAACAACCAATTACAAACTAATTCATCAGGGCAAGCTACTAAATCACTCATGGAGAGATACTGACAGCTCATTTCACACTGACGTTAGTGCTGATGATGTTGTCTAGGAAGACGATGAAAGCCCCACGACTGAACAACCCAGCTTAGAGAACACAATACAATCAAGGCCAACTACCTGAGCTACAAATATTTTCCACGAGTTCAAAGATCATTAAAACATCCTTTTCTTCAAATCGAAAACATGTCACAATTACTTAAATGAATGTTGAATTACTCAGTAACATTGCACTCTGAAACAAACAGTTTCACACTCCCTGGACTAGCATCTATTTTTTGTAAAATTCACCGAAGCCGAAGCTGATCCTCATTCATCATAAAAGTCTGTTGCGAATTCCCATGAAGATGCTCAAACCACCAAGGGAGCTTGGGTGGTTTGGTTGGATCCAATCAAAGACGTTAATTTGTTGAACATAAGGATGAAGTGACCGGATGTTAGTCCTCCTATCAAATATCTTGTTGTAGAATAATCGGTTGTCTACAACCTAGCCCTATTTAATAACACTTTTATTTTCACTTTCAATTATTCCTTCAAACTTTATTTCATTTGATGAGTTTCATTTTTACCGTCTTTTTACTGTCTCTGTTCGTCTTCGAAAAAAAGTCTTATATTGATCTACTTTCTTGAGGTTGAAATACATTTATCAGAGAAAACTGACAAAGTATAACTAAACATCTTTCAAAAAGTTATACCGAGTGTTCAAATCTCACGAAGATTAGAATCTTTTTCACCTAGTTTGAGTTGCAAACCTGAAATGCAGTAGTAACCAATACTCAGTAAATGCTATTCATGACTTAGAAACGTGGAACTGTACTAGGTTGGCTGCCTGCGAAATTGCAGAGAAAAATTTAAAAATACGAGCTACTGACAGGGATATCATAGTTATGTATAAGCTCTATCAAGTTTATTAACAATAATGGAGTAAAGCTTTTAATTTCGAAACAGTACTGACTGATATGATCATTAATTAGGACTTGTTTGCGCATCTGGGACTTCCTAAAGAAGCTCAATGTGTGAAGTTAGGTGCGGACCTAGACTGCACTCAGACGCGGATAAATATATTTCAGACAGTCATTTCAATGATTTACCAGTCACGATTATAGGGTTGACTGTTAACTGCATTCTGAGCATTCTCAGCGTTTATCTCTTTCAGAAACACCTAACTTTATGGATAAACATTTGCAGAATTGAATTGTCTTGTGTTGTAGTGAAGATCGATTAAGATTTTTGCTGAATTTGCACCACACATACATTTTCACAAATCATTTCTTATTCATGTGAATCTATTAGTACTAGAGGTGAATATACTTGATTAACTTCTAAATGCATACATCGGTTTTCTCACATATGAAAATAGGGGTTTTTTCTGACTGAGAAACACACCACTCTCTGTATTGAACAGAAATATTTAACATAATTGCTGCTCAGAGTTATTTTGTTGACACCAACAACTGGTTTATTAGTCATACATGTAAAATACTATATGAATTTTTTTCTGTCAGAATCATGGATATATAAACTCATATTTGCACACATTCTATCCACATTTTTATTTAATTACGAGCATATATACCTACATTAAATTCACTTGAAAACCAACTCTACCTGAAGAATTTAATCATGAGAAATAAGAGTGTGTACGCTCCTCAGAGTGAACTGACGTATATTGACGATTGCCTACGCCACGTTGGAAGCAAACAGCATTTATTCTATGAGACGCATATCTGTCCAATATATCGCATAACTGCTAGTCCAGCCGAGCAGTACACTGAAACAAGAGCACTTGTTCTACTAGAAAAGTATCATCGTAAACGACAGTCACACTGTACCGGGAGTTTATTAGAAGATCGTATTAGTTTCGAACGTACAAAGTCATCTGGTAAAATACCATTCCGTCCATGGGTATCATATAAAGAAATCAAAGAATTATATTTAAGCAGAGCAAGACCGCAATACTTTGTGCTGTGTATAGATTCCATGTATAGTTCAAACAAATACTATGAAATATACAAATGTAAAATCCCAGAAACACTGCAATCAGTTGCTGAGTATATTAGACGTGCAATGGATGACACCGATAAAGTATTACGGGATTTAACATCTATTCGACAAGTTGTTGTTGATGAAATAGGCCGTGTGCGTTCAGTGAGTAATTTTGAAGTTGAAGACAATCGCGCTACACTTCAAATACCAGAAAATTATCACAACGCTAACTCCAACCTTGAATATATCCCATCACCAGTCACTATAACAACGCTTAATCAATCTTACACACCAGAAGTAGATGGGGATTATAGACGTAGTATTGTTGATAGTTTGTTGGATGTAACATATTTAACTTTTGATCCAAATAAAGGAGTCGTTACCAATAATCAAGGTCCAGTCTACTTGTACATGTCTCGACCAAAAAGTCAAGTCAGTATACATAAAACCTCAAATTATTCCGATAAACGAAGCAGTTTTCCTTACGGGAATGAAAATGAAAATATTGCTTACAGATATTAATAATAGCATTGAGAAACCAACAAGAATAATCCATGACATCAGTCTGAAAGTAAACATTCTTTGTCCTCTTATTCAAGTTCCTATTTAATCTAATAATAAGATAAAGAAATAAAATTAGGAATAAAGCACTTTTTTTATGCATATATTGCCGTTTTAAGCATATATTTTATGATTTATTCTTACATACTCTTCCTTGTTCTAGGATTTCCTAGTATGATATGGCCTTCTTAGCAGAGGGTTCCGGTTGCTATTTTCATGCTTTTTCAACATTTTTGCCTTTTCCGTTTATAAGACAGCGTCTTGTGTACTACTGAGACCACAATAACCCATTAAATCTATATTGATTATGTGTAAATAAATTTAAAGACAGATACAGGTTATGGACGTTTCCTAAATGTTTAAAAAAATTTACTACTCGCACCCAAATAACACTGGAAGCAAATGATTGGTGATATCGACCATTAGTATCTTTTATATTGAATTACTCTAAGTTGAGTAGCCTCTTTGTTGACACGCATAATTTGCAATAATTCCTGCTGTACTGTGTTTAACAGCTCAAAAATGTATACTGACAACTAAGGTTAATGCCTTTTTGTTAACTTATTTCTTCAACGGAAGGGTACAGATACCATATGAACCTCTGAAAATTTACCGGAAAATGTTAAGTGGCTATGTTTCCTTCGGAATATACAGTGGTTCTAATACTTATGTAGTTTAAAGTGTCTTAGTAACCCTGTAACATTTTGAATTTTACACTTGCTCAACTTTGAATAATAATCTTCATTCGTATGTATCATGAAGAGAAAGTTATGTTTCTTGAAAATTAGAATTATCACTTATACATATGTGACCTGCTCTACCGGCATTTCTCGTAATGCATGAGCAAGTGAAAAAATTCATTCAGTTGCAAGCTACTGACAAAAAAATTTGGTTTGGCTTAAATAAATATAGGTTCGATGCGATTTGAAAAACATGACCAGCCGATGTAACTACATAAGTCTGTATATCTTAAATTCTTGTTATCAAAAATACAGTGAATTTGCTGTCTGTTGTCAAAGATTGTAGCTCAGTAAGTGATAAAAAAAATTTGTCGGCAGGATTTAGCCAGTGCTTTAGGTTAGATAGTATGATATCTTGCTCTACAGTAACTAGTCAGTTTTATGCTGACCAAATATATTCAGAAATAACTTCCTATCAGAGGCTCAAAGTAGTTAAAAACATGTTCACTGTTTACTTTATTGTTCGCCTTATTTCGGAAAAGATTTTTCACTAAAGTTCACATCCAGCACTTGATGACTAATGTTGTCAAATAAATGATATAAAACATGGAAGAAACTATAATACTCTCAAAAGAAGATTTCCAGTATAAACTTGCCAGTGTTAAACAGTCTTAACTAGTGTTTAAAAAATATCACTTTACTAGTAAAGAAAATCATTAAATTTTGCGAATATTTTGATACTTATTACGATACTAAAGGTTTGAGGACAGTAAATGCTTTAGGTCAACTTATGAGCACGTTACACCGAACAATCTTTAACTGCTCAATTGATTCTTAACAGGAATATGCAGTCAAAGGAAAAAAAGCTAAACATGAGCAAAGTTCATCAGGATTATTAGTTAGAAAGAGCTACGCAGTCTTCACGCAACTCTTCTATGAATATTTAGACCAGTAAACAGATGTTCGGCTAAACACTGAAGCATAAAAATACAAAGGCGTATTTTACAATGAATTTGAGAATGAAAATCTACAATGAATGCAGATAATCATATTTCCAATGCAGTTTTGCCCTATTTCAGAGTTGTTAATTTGTCATGGAACTTTTATTATCATTTAAATAGACGATAAAGTAAATTTTACAAATTTTATAGAATAGTAAGTATTTATTGCACTACATTGTTATTCTGCATTTAAATTAGTTAACTTATCATACTTCTCCGATTCCATTTTTCGGTTTATTTATTGGTGAACTATTTTCCTCTGAATATTAAATTATGTGGATTGCACTTCTGTGTATGAATTTTGTAATTTTCCTAGCCTGTGTTGAGTTGGAAAAAAGACGAAATACTAAGAATTCGTCATATTCAGCAAGATTTTTCGTTCTTATTTATTTACAGTTTGTTTAATAAAGAGTGTTATAAGCGGATTTTAAAAATGAAATAATTTTTTCACTGGTGGTTCAGAAACAGAACAGTTGTGGTAGCAGTGAAAGGCATGATACATAAGAAAAACAGTTTCTGGAACTAACAGAACAAGAATGGCAACCAGTGGTATTACTAACAAACACTCTGTTATAGGGATCATGATCAGGGTTTAGAAATGAAATTTATGGTGTAGGTGAAGCATATGCTACTTTAGATACCTCGAAGTACTGCTTAGTATTATGAGATTCGATTCATTAAATACAAATTAGAATAGGACGCTTTATAAACGCATCGCGTAACAAACAAATTGAACAGGATTTTGATGCTTGAAAATAGTTTTCAGTGAAGTTACAAGAGTTCAGAACATATGAAAAATGGTTGAGAGCTAAGAAGGAAAAAATGCTTCCCTCATTAGGTACATCTATTTTGGATGCAAAGATATTCAGACTTTCAGACGTAGATATTCTCCAAAGCGGTATTCTTTGCAGCTAGGCTTTCGGTGAAGTTCAAACTACTACTTCTATTTTTTTAATTATTATCAGTGGAGACAGGAGACACCTAAAAGCTAATATTCTGAGCCATGCATGTTCTCCGTATTTTTTATGATGTTACTATGTAAATGTCTCTACATTGTAACACGTTATGAATTAAAAGTAATATCTCTCCCAGTTCATGCCGTTATATGTGCAGTTGCATTCATAGAAGTTAAATGATTGCTGTCGCGTTAAAAAGATATTAACAAAATAAAGCTTTATGATGGCAGTAATTTATGGTGCACGAAAAGTCTAAGAAAAAAATATCAGTGGCATTAACTAATCGATGACGTAATTATGATTTGAGATCATGATGTTTAGTGACACATGTTACTATACCCATTACTTAGAGCGTAAATGTTTAAATGTGAGCTGAATCGATTTCAAGGGAAGTAAAATGATAAGCCTAACTCATCTCATTCGAATATCACCTCAACAGATCAGCGGTGATAATGAAATGATAAATGACAGCAAATACTATTCATAGCCACATAAAGAAAATATTACCATACTATCATGATTTCTATCGTGTAGATATAAGTTTTAATTGTGTCTACTACTTACTTTCGCTTAAGTTTGGAGCTCTAACTGTTTATCGAAGATGGAAACGTGTTTGCAAACTTAATATACACTTACACAACAAAGATAAATCCAAATACCAACTAAACAGGGAAAAAAGGGCGATAAATCATCAATATACCTTACATAGAGGTTGATATTTGAAAAAATACTAACTATTTCATCAAAGTGTTTTTAAAAAATGATAATAATAATTTTGTTCCAACAACACTTGTGATACAGTAAATTCATTTCCTTTAAAACATCTCTAAGGGAAACAATCATTGCAATTGAATAATGTTAATTATAACAGTAACAAAAGCTTCAATGTGAAACAAGCACATGGTATTACGTTAACATCTGGTTTAGACTGGTGAAGAAATGGAAATTCAAGCGTAATTTTGGTAGTGACAGTTCAGCTAGCCAGTACAGAAACCTGCAATTTGACACTGTTATCATTGAATTAGTAATGTATTGCATTTCTGTGGATTTATAAGTCCATATCTTACCTGCAAAACGCTAATTCTTTATTTCGTTGTTAGCTTGAAAAACAGCAGTTTGAAATCATTTTAAAAGTATGCAAGAGCATATAAAGCGTTTAAAAAACATATTTCAAAGATTAAAATGATCTAAACAGAGCAATATCAGAAAGATGTGACAGCAGAATTTATGAGATTTATGATGAAAGTCTACCTAGACTTCAGCTATAGTTTAGGTACCAGTGAGCGGTTAGTCAGAATAAAAGTTAGTAAACTTTAAATAGCACCACTTTTGATGTTTGAAGATCGTAACATCACATATGTGTATCAAATACCACTTACAGTACTTTTAAATTAGCTGATAATTACTGAAGTACAGAAAAAACGTGAAAGGAAGAGTGATTTTCTAATCAGTTCCCAGTCATCATGAAAAAAAACGAAAGTCAATTACTAATTAGGCTTCGTTCACTTTCGAAAAAGCTAAGTATGGATTGAAACAATATGTTTCTTTTCTTGTCCCAAGTTTATTTTTTCATCCAGTGTCAATCCGGAGAACCTCAAGGATTCCTGTTATGCCAGTGACTTCCGAATCCCGCCCAGAGATGCTCTTTTCTAACAGTTATTTCACTTTTACTTATAAACTGGAAGTCACTACAGCATTAATGAGTGTACTGGTGCTTTTGGGGTCTACTGAAATGGTTAAAGAATTACTTCATATGCATATTCTTCATGTAGAAACAAGCTTTTTCCATCACTATGCCTATACGATAAAGTACAAAGGAAGCGGCTTATGAACTTTATTCTTGATCAGAGCATCAGATGTAGCACCGATTCCACTTTTCTAGGTAAAATTTTAACTGATCCCACTACAGACTGATATCAATTAAAACTCCTGAGATATCATGTCAATACAATAATCTTAGGCGACCACTAAGTATGTATTGACTTCCATCTAAATTCCTCATAGAAGGCATAATAAAAGAACACTGGTTCATGAATTCACTCTAATTATTTTACCGTGATCATGGTTATAAACGCAACTTACGGACCAGTTTGACCCCTATTTCAAACTGGAACTAGACTAAACTTCAGCAACTAGGCTGCAATGATGATCGTACATAATTTTTTGATGGATACAAATGCAGCATATTTGACGTAGGCTCAAGTGCTGCTTTCCAGGACGTCCTCCATCATCTGTCATCAGTGCAGTTGAATGGTTGCTACTTTAGTTCACAGAAGTGATTTAAATATCCGTTGAGTGACTTTTATGAATATTTCTGTCGTCAA